TGGGAAACTGGGAGATGCGGCCCGCAGGCGCAGGGGGGGAAGCGGAGAGCGAATCGCGGCATAAAGGAAATTCGGCGGTTCGCAAACCCCTGCGGACCACTGCTATAGGAAACAGCTGGACTGATGAGCGGCTCTTCTCTCTCGTTCTTCTCCCCTCCCTTTTCTCTTTGCTGTGTTCCCTCCGCGAGCGCGGTCCGCACTCGTCTCCAAACCCAATGCTCACGCTCCGCTCTGCGCCGCGCGCCGGTGCCTCTCCTCTCTCGTGTACCCTTTGCCCCTTCATCATTGCACCCAGGTTCTCTCTCCTCACCGTACGCAGATCATCCAGGTTCGGTAGCCGGTGCGGACCACGCGTCACAGGATTTTCTCTCTCCGCCGCGCCACATGCCGATGTCGGAAGTCAAGCGCCCGATACTTATTTGCGATCTACTATATTCACAATTCTGTATTGCTTCCCACATTCTTAGCCATAATTTATTAATTGTTTCAAAATATTTTAGGGTGTTCGGCGAACACTGCGAACCTATGGACGCCACGCCACTGATTGTTAAAGTGGATCAAATCGATTTTCTATACTTGGTCTCCTCGTCAGTGGCGCGTCTTGCGCCGGATGTCAATAGCTGATTGTAAGCAGAACGGAACAGAAACCAAAAATTGATTTTCTCCGGAACCAATGGGTCTTTAAAAATCTGGCGCTTGTTATAGACCTGAGTGTACTGCAAATGCTGCAATGTTTACAGATTGACTCTAGTGTTTTTGGTCTCGAAGGGAAAAAAAGAAGAAATAGAGCCTTACTCGGTAAGGAAAACAAGTAAACTTTTTTTTGATACTCTTCATTCAAGGTATCATAACTTTGTCAATTTTGGACTAAATTAGTTTGCAGACCGCTCAATCGACGGCAAATTACACCAGCTTTAAAATGAAACCAAGATAATTTCGATAGCTATCTTAGTTTATAAATTAAAACAGAAACTTTGCGTAATTTTGAGTCAATTTTCGTATCAGCCTCTAATAAGCTCTAAAAAGTATAAAAAACGATATATTTCTCCAGGAGCTCGAACAACCTATTTTCATTTTTAGCTAGAAAGACTCCATTTTTACCCTACTTTTTGAATCCGAAAAGACTTTTTGAGTGATAGAAAATTTCATAGAATATTTACTCAAACGAACCGTGCGTTGGACACTTCGAAAAATTTCATGATTAACTCATAGGTGTGATATTAACGTTTGTAGCTCACATCAGCCTCAGGAAAAGTCAGAGCGCCTTCAGTATTCCGTGTATGCAACGCGTGCATCTGCAGAGCAAGACTGGTTGTGCTCAGGGGTTGTGATCAAAATCCGATGAACCAAAAGACACGTGGAGTACTAGACCTCCTATAGGCATGTTTTCTCGTCAAAAGGTCAAAAAAAGGTACCATTCTATCTAAAAATAGTGCTCTCGTTGGATCCCTGATGGAATGATGCTCCTTATGGCTATTTTGTCTCGAACAACGTCAATTTTTGCGCACTTACGGCTTCGTCACGTGTATCTCCATTCTATACAAAGAGGACGAATGCCGTAATTTCAGCAGCATCAGTACTTTCATCTAAATTAGATTAGACGAATTAAAAAAGAAACTGGAGTTCGATTTGCGAAGTACTGCTCTGGTCGCCATCACGGTAGTAGAGTGAGGTTAATGTAAAGAGTATGGCTATGTCCGTTATCGCTGTGCTAAAAGAGTGCAGTAAAATGAGCTTATGAGAAAATTGGCCGAGTGTATTTTTGACAGTTAGTGCTGAACAATCAACTCTTTTCACCATAGACTGGAAGATTTTCTTCGGTATGCATTCGCAAGGGTTTCGCAGTTCCCTATAGGACGATTGGCAGCTAACGACGTAGAGCAAGGACCGGGTTTTCAACATAAGCTTTCGTTTTTTTTTTTTTTTTTTTTTTTTTTTTTTTTTTTTTTTTTTTTTTTTTTTTTTTTTTTTTTTTTTTTAGCAAGGGTATTTTATGTTATAAAATGAAATAAAACCTTTTTTTTTTTATGATATAGGGTAGGAGGGCAATCGCTATGTTAAATGGAGTCCTTTGGGACCAAAGGATCTACAACGCGATTGTCAAGAGCATAGTAACCTACGGGTGTGAAGTATGGCCAATGAAACAGCGGACCCGGGAGGTTTTAGAGGTAACTGAGGTGGACTTCTGGCGTAGATCCGCTGGTATTTCCAGAAAGGATCGCGTCAGGAATGAGAGGGTACGGGAGATCATGGATGCCAAACAGACCATCGTGCATGACATTATGACAAAACAACTCATTTGGTATGGTCATGTCCAAAGAATGGCAGGAGACAGGTTGTCGAAGAAGGTCCTTGACTGGGTTCCTCCTGGGAGAAGACGCAGAGGGCGCCCAATGAAAGGTTGGAGGGAAGGGATTGAAGCGGAAATGTTAAGGTGCTCAATCCCCCAAGATTTGTGGTTTGAAAGAGAGCAGTGGAGGTTAGGAGTCGTAGAGCGCGAGGAAGTGCTGTAAAGCGACCTTTATATATATTTTATGATATAAATGAATTTCTAGCGACTGATGATGAATACAATTCTTGTATTTGCTAATATTTAATGTTACATTAAACAATTTAAAGTTAATCATTCCTAATTAAAATTATTAGTTACCAATACTAATTCATTTAAGTAATTAATACTATACTATTGTGCTATTATACGAAGAGTGTCCGGAAAGTATGAAGCCTCTTCTTACATCTTGGGATCTAATATAGAAAAGAAGTTGGGACTCGGTTTGGACTTTATCCATATCCTCCTAAAAGCACACACGCAATTGCTAAGACATGCGTTTAATCAGTTGACAGCGAGCACCTGATTAAACAGTGTATATATACATCAAGGGCTGGTATCGCATTTTGTTTTCGGCGAAAATGTCCGATTGCAAGGATCAGCGATTTTGCATCAAGTTTTGCTTCAATCTCGGATTGACATATCAATCATTATAGTAGACGAGTCGTTGGGCTACGAAAAAGACCCTGAAATGAAAGGCTCGTCATCAGTTTGGATGGCAAAGGGGGAAAAGCGCCCAAAGAAGGCGCGGCGCAGTCGAAGCCAAGTCAAAGTCATGTTGACGGTTTTTTTTTATTTAGTTATTTATTTACTTATTTTTAAGTCAAGAAGGTGTTGTGCATCATAAGTATGCCCCCAGGGACAGACTATCAACAAAGAAATGTATACAAAAACTTTGCGCCGTTTGGGGGATGCGGTGAGGCGGAAGCGTCCTGAGTTCTAGGAAGGTGGCGACTTGATGCTCGACCACGACAACGCATCGTGCCTGGTCCAACAATTTTTGGCGAAAAACCGGAACGCACAGGCTGTGCCGCACAACCCCCCTCTCTCCCCCTCGTACAGTCCAGACCTGGCACCGTATCACTTCTGGCTGTTCCCCAAACACAATAGCGCGTTGAAAGGAACTTGATTTTAGTGGGTCGAAGATATCAAAGAAACACGACGCAGCAACTGATGGCCATCCAGAAGAAGGATTTTGAGGAGTGCTTCCAGGAGTTAAATTACCGCTGGAACAAGTGCATCGTGGCTGAAGAGAGTACTTCGAGGGCGATTAAAGTTTCCAAGCCCCAGCGGTCAGGTCAGCTAGTTTCCCTTAAAAATATAATAGTTTGATACTTTCCGGACGGACCTCGTATACTTACAAACTATTGACTAATCCTATTGTTCTTTGACATTTGCCATAGCCCCAATAACGGACTTTTATTGTACGAATATAAAATGAAAAAAAAAGGGGGGGGGGGAAATAAATAGTTGCTTCAAATTGACTTTGGCAGCAAACGACAAGGATCATGGACTGCAGCTGAATGTTTTCTCGCCGGTATGTATTCGGATGTTTTTCCTACGGACGTTTTATTACGAGAGGAAAAGGATCAATTGGATTGCATTTTGCAATTTGGAACTATAAATTCTGGCTCTTCTGGAAAATCACTTATGTGCATAGGGAAACTAATGGCACATACGTTGTTTTTAAACCGGGCTAAAATCTATAGGTCCAAATTGCAAAATGTAGTCCAATTATTGAATAATTTTTCAAAAGTGTGAGTCCGACGCATGCCCGTCGAGTTACTTATTCAAAACCAAGAGGAAGTACAAAAACTGTAACTGAATGGTTCTTCAAACGGATGCGTTCTGATATGTAGCTTCAAATGACCTGTTTTACTAAAAGAGGAGGAGCGACGACTGCAGCTGCGAAAGGTTTCTCGCCAGTGTGAGTTCTGAAATGTACCCTTAAATTACATTTCGACTAAAAGAGGCAGAACAATGACTACAAATCAAAGGATTCCCGCAAATATGCGTGCGGATACGTCGATTCAAATTATCTATCCGGCGGAAAGAAGAGCAATGACTGGAACTGAATGATTTTTCAACTTCGGTGCGTTTGGACATGTTCCTTCCGAGATCTGTTGTTACTGAAAGAGGATTGCAAAGACTCCGAATGAAAGATTTCTCCCCAGTATGCTTTTGGATATGAAGCTTCAAAGAGTATGTCTGTCAATGACAGAGAAAGAACAATGGCTGCAGCTGAAAAGTTCCTCACCAATTTGAGATCGGATATGTCGCTTTAAATCGAGTTTTCGACCAAGAGAGGAAGGAAAATGACTGTAAATCAAAGGTTTCTAGCAGTATACGTTCAAATATGCACCTTTAAAAAAGTTCTTTGGCTAAAAGCGGAAGAGCAATGACGGCAACTGAAAGGTTTCTCGCCAGTATGCGTTCGAATATGTACCTTTAAATCCTGTTTTCGGATAAAAGAGGAAGAGCAATGGCTGCAACTGAAAGGTTTCTCGCCAGTATGCGTTCGAATATGTACCTTTAAATCCTGTTTTCGGATAAAAGAGGAAGAGCAATGACTGCAGCTGAAAGGTTTCTCGCCGGTATGCGTTCGAATATGTACCTTTAAATCCTGTTTTCGGATAAAAGAGGAAGAGCAATGGCTGCAGCTGAAAGGTTTCTCACCAGTATGCGTTTGGATATGTAGCTTTAAATCCTGTTTTCGGCTAAAAGAGGAAGAGCAATGACTGCAAATGAATGGTTTCTAGCAAATTTGCCTTTGAATATGTACCTTTAAATCACTTTTCCGGCTAAAAGAGGAAGAGCAATGACTGCAACTGAAAGGTTTCTCGCCAGTATGCGTTCGAATATGTACCTTTAAATTACCCTTTCGGATAAAAGAGGAAGAGCAATGACTGCAGCTGAAAGGTTTCTCGCCAGTGTGCGTTAGGATATGTCGCTTTAAATTGTGTTTTAGGTTAAAAGAGGACGAGCAATGACTACAGCTGAAAGGTTTCTCGCCAGTATGCGTTCGAATATGTACCTTTAAATCACCCTTTCGGATAAAAGAGGAAGAGCAATGACTGCAGCTGAAACGTTTCTCGCCAGTGTGCGTTAGGATATGTCGCTTTAAATTTTGTTTTAGGTTAAAAGAGGACGAGCAATGACTACAGCTGAAAGGTTTCTCGCCAGTATGCGTTCGAATATGTACCTTTAAATTATCCTTTCGGCTAAAAGAGGAAGAGCAATGACTGCAGCTGAAAGGTTTCTCGCCAGTATGCTTTCGGATATGTAGATTTAAAAACTGTTTATGGCTAAAAGAGGAAGAGCAATAACTGCAACTGAAAGGTTTCTCGCCAGTATGCGTTAGGATATGTCGCTTTAAATTACCCTTTCGGATAAAAGAGGAAGAGCAATGACTGCAACTGAAAGGTTTCTCGCCAGTATGCGTTCGAATATGTCGCTTTAAATCCTGTTTTCCGCTAAAAGAGGACGAGCAATGACTACAGCTGAAAGGTTTCTCGCCAGTATGCTTTCTAATATGTAGAATTAAATGCTGTTTTTGGCTAAAAGAAGAAGAGCAGTGACTGCAGCTGAAAGGTTTCTCGCCAGTATGCGTTTGGATATGTAGCTTTAAATTGTGTTTTAGGCTAAAAGAGGACGAGCAATGACTACAGCTGAAAGGTTTCTCGCCAGTATGCTTTCGGATATGTAGCTTTAAATTATGTTTTCGGTTAAAAGAGGAAGAGCAATGACTGCAACTGAAAGGTTTCTCGCCAGTATGCGTTCGAATATGTCGCTTTAAATCCTGTTTTCCGCTAAAAGAGGACGAGCAATGACTACAGCTGAAAGGTTTCTCGCCAGTATGCTTTCTAATATGTAGAATTAAATGCTGTTTTTGGCTAAAAGAAGAAGAGCAGTGACTGCAGCTGAAAGGTTTCTCGCCAGTATGCGTTTGGATATGTAGATTTAAATTGTGTTTTAGGCTAAAAGAGGACGAGCAATGACTGCAAATGAAAGGTTGCTCACTGCGATGCGTTCGCATACTTCGTTTCGGAAGGTTTTTACGCGTTGAAGATACACAACGTTGGGTGCTTTTGACTGGTTTGTTTCGGATTTCAGTTCGATTGGTCGGTAATACTGCTCTTTCAATATGAGGCTCGTTTGACGTGGTGCTATTACATGCTTCTATGATAGATTCCCGTTTAATTCCATGGAGATCTTGCAGTTGGTGGGGTGGTTGGTCATTAAAGCTTCCACTTCCAGCAGGCGGAGTCAGTGGAACATGATTACATGTATGCCGCGAATCATTTCCGGAATCGTTTGCAGTGCGTTTTACTGGGCGTTCCGATTGGTCGGATTGCAAAGTCTCTTCTTCCTTAATGTCAATACTAGTATGCAAGTAGTCGGTAATACTTTCGTCTACTTCCAATTTTAAGCGAGCGGAGAGACCGAACAGAGAATCGCCATGGAGAAGATCTGCGTGGTCATCGCCAAATGCCGATTTTTTGTCAACTTCTGGGACGTCATCCGCCGTATCCATCACAAGTGTTGGGCCCGATGCTTTCTTCAAAGTAATATCTTGAGATGTGTCCATGTGTCTTTTCCTTCGGGCCAATCCAAAGAGAATCCTGGACAAAAGTAAATTTTAGCCAGTGTGAGCGCAGATGTTCAAGACGGAAGTTTTATAAGTGTAATTATTTTGCAAAATAAAGTAAAAAGAGAATCAATGTTACTTAAGCGGTTTCAGAATTAACCACACTTGCGAGTCCATGGGGTTGCACTGAAAGTTCAAACGTATATGTACGATGCGGATGGGAAATTGGACTGAATATTATTATAATAACCAGGAACTATTAGTTCTGGCTCATTTTAGAAACAACGTAAGTGTCATTATTTTCACAGATAGCTCGTGCGTGAACGAGTAAAAAGTAGTAGCTCTGAATTGCAAATTGTAGTCCAATTATTGGTATTATGACCGATTGGACAACATGTCGGAGCATTATTGCATATCTTCTCTATTATAACGTTATTCAGAACGATAAATTCAATTCTGGGCGTTGCATGATAACATTTGGTACGGATATGCACCTAAATATTCCGAAAAGTGGAAATCAGCAAATTCGTCCTGCCCAAAAACGTTTATGTCTTTGAGAGCCTACCAGGAAGCACCACGGAAATTGTGGCTGAGTCGCCGAGGTTAATTTACCATGATGGCGACGAGCGCGTAAGAGCAGAGATGAAGTTTCGATGAAAGTGGCTCGGTACATAACGTTTCAGTGGAAAACTGTTACTACCCAAAATTAGCTCGTAAAAAAGGATTTAAAGATTGCAATTCGCGTCAGGGGTGAGGAGAAGCCAGAGCGCCCTCATTACTCCTTGTACGCAAAGCGTACATCCGCAGAACAAGACTAAATGTATCCAGCAAAGAGTACAAAGAGTCGTAATATGAAAGGGAGAGCTGGCGTCACTTTTAAGCATTTTCCAGGCAGTGGCGTAACTACCATACCTGCCGACACCGTCGGGCGGGGAGGGGGGGGGCGCAGCGATGCGAGGGGCGCAACATGTTGGGAAAGTAAACGGGTTAAAGGAGGAGAAAAATAAAAAGGAGAAAAGAAAGAAGGAAGAGAGAGAGGCAGAAAAGGTGAAAAAAGAGTAAAGCGAGGAGAACAAGTGCTTAACACTCCCACGTCAAAAATTTTGATCATGCAAACATTTCATGTATGTTGCACATTTTTTTAAATTTTATGGGACTTGAATTTTCTCTTCACTTTCCTCTCTATTCTCATAGCGATACCTTGATTTTCTCCCATTTGTTCAGGTCTGAATGACTAGACGGACAGGGAGGGGGGGGGTTGCGCCGCTCATAACTTCTGATATGAAAGGGCGCAGCCTCAGATGATCGGCGGGGGCGCGCGAATATTTTTAGTTACGCCACCATTTCCAGGTCCCGATTTCCCTGACTCCTATGCGGCGCCGGGTCACTTTTTCGATACATGATCGATTGTTTTCGATACTCGGGTACTCCGCTTCGCGACGTACACACACACCTATTAGATTTCCGGATTTCGTTTTCTCTTGAGTTTCGTGGATTTTACTGGTTAATGATGTTTAAAATGTTCTCCACTAATTGAGTAATAATCCTCACTGACTGCAGCAGCACAATCATGCGCGGTTGCTGGATCCAAGGATGTCCATCCGGCAGAAGAGCAGGAAAAAACACAACATTCTTGCTACACAAGTAAGTTTGTGACCATTTTATTTAAGTTGATTTTACATGATAAACGCTAAGTTTCAATGACTTGATTCTCCAACGATCGCTTTGAGTCTCAAGAAGATGTTTCCAGGGTCTCAAACATGGAAGTTCAGCCCTATCTAGGAAGCTGTATTGATAATCGCATTCAGTAGCGTGGCGTGAACTGCGATATATCGATTGTTATGCCATTTAAACCTATGGTAAAGAATCGATTGTTAAGGCGTTCGCTGCGAACACCCTGTTTATCGATCCTTTTCCATAGGTTTAAATGGCATAACAATCGATATACCGCAAAGCACACCACGCCACTGCTGATCAACCTCGATCGCACTTACGTAGCAGAGAATCTGGATCGGATCTGCACTGCGTGTTGTACGTCAGCGGGACGATTATTGAAATTGATAGACAAAACTATAGACAAAGGAGACAAAAGATATATGGAGAGATCCTATTGGTGGAAGCGGGTGCGGTTTTAATGGACAAAGGAGGTAGGTAATAGACTACCTAACGGCAACCCACGAGAGACCCGACATTTAGTCTATCATTTTCTCCCTTTGTCTAAAGGAACCACCCGGTTCAACCAATAGGATCGCTCCATACTCCCTAAGTTTTCTTTGTCTATAGCTTTGTCCATCAGTTTCAATAATCAGTCCGCAGGTCATGAATCTTCATTGCTGATAGTCCAGAATGATATTGATAGTAACCTCTTTAGAATAGAGTAGGGAATATTCTGGCCTGCACCGTCAGTTTAGCTTTTGTATATCATCAAGTTGGAATTCACGAAACCACACACCTTCGGCCAAAGCCTCTCATGGTGGGTTCTATTTTTCAGACATAAGATGTCGGTATGCTATGCTTCCAAATTGCACCTCTCTCGTAGCATGGGGGTAATAGGAAAGGTTTATCAATGGAAGAATTTTGACTGCTCTGGGAAATTAGATGATAAGCTGTAAAAAGGAGATGTGCTTGATTGTGATGCTCCACGAATTGAGGAAAGTAATGATGAAACTCCACTCTTTGTATTTTAAGCTCCTGGTATAGATTCATACCGTTACCTGAATATGAATGTGAATTATCCTCATTTGACAGCCTTAACCTTGGTTCAAACCCTTCGTGAGGACATTTTGGACTTAAGGTTGCTAATTTTTGATCTACCAATACAAAGCAGCCCTTCATAAGGTTGTAGTAAGAATGCTAATAAATAGTCATTCTGGTATGATGATGATTATTATTATCTTTTACATGTAAGTATGTATGCATAATCTCCCTATTTTACTTTTATTAGTCAATCCAATGGGACATCCGCTGTTGACTCCGACTTTGTGACACTTGCGTAAATAATACCGTCGAAATGTGAAAAATTAAAAGATAACAACGGAGCAAGGCGTATGCGAATAATTTCCTCCTCAACAATTAGCTCAATTTCACGACACTATTGAACCCATGTGAAATATACCTTTGAAATGTGAGAAATCACGCTGGGGTGCCAACAGAACAAGGCTCAACACAAACTGATTGCGGTTGACGCACTCGTACAACGGTATGTTGGTAGCAGAAAATTCAGGAGGCTGCACTGCACTGAGGATTGGCCCAACAAGGCCGAAACGCGTCTGCAGTTGCCTTCCTGAATGGACCTAACTAGTGCTGCTCCAAACAGCATATCTCTGGGAGGGAAAACTGCTCGAACGAGCTTTTTCCCTCCGTATTGAGATTTTCAGCTTTATGCTGAATTTTTAACGAACATTGGTAAAAAAATTCCAACATACCCAGAACAGGGCTCTTGAACTCACGCGGCTCTTTGAGGCAACTATACGTGTCTCATGGATGTGCTTGAAGTATCATCAAAATTGAAGGCGAAATGAGACATGTGTTCTTGACTTACACTCCGTGCCGCACTTCGAGACGCGTGGAAGACCTCCTTCTATCAAAGCGAAACGACTATCCTCGACACTTTCTCGGTTTTCCTCAATTCCACGACTTCATCGAAGCGAGACACTTGCGTAAATAATACCGTTGAGATGTGAAACATTAAAAGATGACAAGGACGCAAGGCTCTGGAGCTCGCATGGTTCTTAGATACAACTATTCGTGTCTCATGGATGTGCTTGAAGTATCATCAAAATTAAAGGCGAAACGAGACACCTGGTCTTGACTCAGAATCTGATTTTGTCCCGCACTCAGGGTCGACCTCTTCCCATCAAAAGGAAATAACTATTCCCGACACCTGGGCAAAGTTTATCTTAGTTTTTCTCAATATTACGACACAACTGCACCAAGACACTTGCGTAAAAAATACTGTTGAGATGTGAAACATTAAAAGATAACAACGGAGCAAGATTCTGGAGCTCGCACGGTTCTTTGATACGACTATTCGTGTCTCATGGATGTGCTTGAAGTATCATTAAAATTGAATACGAAACAAGGTACCTGGTCTTGACTCAGAATCTGATTTTGTCCCGCGCTCAGGGTCAACCTCTTCGTATAAAAATGAGTTAACTATTCCCGACATCTTGGTAGAGTTTATCTTAGTTTTTCTCAATATTACGACACAATCGAACTAAGACACTTGCGTAAAAAATACCGTTGAAATGTGAAAAATCACGAGATGACAACAGAAGAAGGCTCTGGGACTCACATACGGCGCTTTGATACAACTATTCGTGCTTTACGGATGTGCTTGAAGTATCATCAAAATTGAAGGCGCGATGGACTCTATATCTTAGACTTATGGGAGGGGTAAAGCGTTTAGTTAATTAATAAACGGGAAAAAACGAACTTTCGATTTCCATAGTAGAGGAGATATGGATTGAGAACTCACATCCTCAACAATGAAAGACACCAGTGGCGAAGCGTGAATAATCGATTATCGATATTTTCACATTTGAAGCTATGGTCAAGAATCGATTATTATATTAACGAAATCGTTGCGAACACCCTATTTATCGATCCATTTCCATAAGTTAAATGGCAGATCAATCGATACATCGCAAAGCACGCAACGCCACTGAAAGACACGAGGGAAGTTTGCATGGTAACTTTAACGCACGGAAAAAATCCACAGCGAAACTCTCAGATCATCAAACTCAAATTAATCCAAATCAAATTAAAACCAGTTCCCAAAAGTTATCTTACCTCAGAGTTGAGAGGAAACTGGCTCTATCATCACGGTTAGTGGGAGAATTATCCAAGATGGGTGAGCTCAGACAATCTGGAATCAAACGGAAAGAAATTAATTAAAAAGACGACTCAGTTAGGATCTAGTCTAGAGCCCGTTTGTTTTTAAACAGTGCAATCCTGAAATTAAAATTATTAAGCATTGTTAAATTTAGAAAAAAAAAATTGATTTAGTTCAATTTTCACCTATACCCGTTTATAAAAACGCATGTCATTAACTCCAATAATTATCGGACTTCATTTAACAAAGAGGAGTTATTTTCTTAGCTCGTTCACAAAATCACCTACCTGCAAAGAGAATCTCATGGTATATACGTTGTTTTTAAACAGAAAGTCTAGTTTTTTTTTCATTTGGAAATCCTGTTTTCCTGATTTTTGACTGCTAAATCCTAATTTCATAATACTTCCAAATCCTGATTTCTTGAGGAGAAAAACTCACTTTACGCAAGGCGGATGTGACTTCACAAAAATAGCTCTATGAAGAATTCCGACTTTCCTCAAATCTTGATTTTACGACCCATTTTTCCTAGAATCCTGATGTTAAACACCCTGTAAAATGAGGCAGAAATAGTAGTTCCTTATGACAGGATATAGTTCAGTTACAAGGTGAGAAGAGATACTCTCTAGGGAAAATTGAATGGCCTCCGCCTGATTTGTGCGAAGGGATTGTGATCTTATAAGATCACAATCCCTTCAATTAATTCGCATAATTTTCTATAGAAAATTATGCGAATTAATTGAATTTATGCACGGGAAAAGAGACATCGGTCCAGGCTTCTTTGTTAGATTAAATGACCAGTCCTAATTAATTGAGGCTGAACTCCAATATATTGAGATGAATAGGCAACGGACTTTTCGACCAAATCTTAAGGCCTGGATACCCGCTCAAATTTCCGTTAATTTCCGATCAAAATGATGACAAAAATGGCGGTCGAGAGTTAGAAATAAAATTAATTAGAACAGTGTGTTGATTAAAATAAGCATGAAATAAGCACGGTTGTGTGGAAATAAGACGAAAGATGAGACTCAAAGTTCCATCATCAACCATCAAATTCTTGCAGGCCGCAAAAATTCGATGGTGGATGGTGCGCACCAGTCACCGTTTAATCGGAAATTGATGGATATTTAAGCGTGTATCCAGGCCTTTGCAATGAGGAACTACAATCTAGGGCTCATTTCCGGAACACGTACAACACCTTCCCCTTTGGAGATATGTCCTTTCATAGACGAGTTAAAAATTTTAGTTCCTTATTGCAGAGTGTGGTTCATTTGATACAGTAAATAAATTCTGGTTAAATCTCAAAAATCCTGACCTAGCTTGTTTTACCATGTACGGCGTTTCCTCAGAACAAAACTACAAAACAAAAAAAAAAAACAAAAAAAAATTAGAGGCGAGTTGGAATCATAAAGTGCTCCCTATCGGCTGAGCGCTTAATTAGATACATCAATCTAATTAAAAACAGGGACTTTCTCAGTAGAAATCTGGTCCCATTAGTTTCAAAATTGTACATGGAGTGAAAAGTTAAGACCCTCACAATTCTTTTCGAAGTCATGGAGGACATGACTTGAGTTGCACTGAAAAAACTCGTTGGTTCCCAGACGAGAGAACTAACTACATTCCAGCGTTGCAAAATGTACGCTCGCAAACTGGATTTTGATCGCGAAACAGTTGGGCATTCCAAGTTGAACATTTCTCTGATTTTTCTTCCGATTACACGCAGTGATCAACAAAATTCTGGGGGGAAAAATTGCATGTTCAAACACCCATGAAAAAGCGAATCGTTCGGGTCAGTTTTGGAACCCGAGAAGAGAGGCAAAGCTTCCATTTTATTTTACCGACGATTCCGGGATGCCCGGAATTAATTCCGATTTTCCGAAGTTCCGAGAAAAATCCGATTTTTCAAACGTTCTGGGGAAAAATCCCGAAATACGTCTGGATTTAGTTCTGTAGATAATCGAATATGATAAAAAAAAAATAAATAAATAAATAAATAATTACCAAACATCAATTGTCATGAAATAATCGGTCAAATTGATACTTTTTAAAAGAAGAAAAAAAAAAAAAAAAAAAAAAANATTCCGGGAATTTCGAGGGTTCCCGGAAAATTTCCGGAATTCGGAATTAATTCGGGGAAACGACAGCACTGAATGGGGGGTACGTTTGGAGGAGGAGGACGAAGGGTTTCCTCCGGCATCGCGGAGCGAAGAGTCAAGAGTTAGAGTAAACATATGTTGATTCGTCGAAACAAAACAAGTACGGGGCCCGCTTAATTGTGAGCGCAACTGTCATTTTCGAGAGAGAGCAGGGGAGAAAAAACGGGGAAGACGCGCGGAGGGGGAGGGGGAGGGTATAGACAAGCAGGGAGTGCGAGGGTGTAGTGTCGGGCTCATCCCGGAACGCGGCATATTCACACGGTCGGGGACATCGTTTGCCGGACGGGGCACCGGCACCCTCCGACGGGAAGAACCGCCGTGCTAAGGAGGAACGCCGTAAGTACATCGGGGCGTTGCCGAATTTCTCCTGAAAACTCACACGTTTCCTGGAATGGAGATGTTGCAAGTGTGAGGGATTTGCGATTTGACCATTGATTCTTATGTAAAAGTTTGCAAGAAACACGATGGTGCCACTGGTTTTCTCTGAAATCATCTCCCAAGCTCAAAAAAAGCTCTCGAAGTGAGGCCAAAATGGAGGGGATATCCCACCCTACCCTGAGAGTCCACCTCTACATCAAGACAAACTCTCCATGCAAAGATTTGGAGCAAATACATTAGCAGGGTTGCCGTGTTTTCAGTTTTAAAGTCCCCAAATAAAGTGGCAGCCCTGTCAATGTATTTGCTCCATATCTTTGCATGGAGAGTTTGTCTTGATGTAGAGGTGGACTTTCAGGGTAGGGTGGGATATCCCCTCCATTTTGGCCTCACTTTGAGAGCTTTTTTTGAGCTTGGGAGTTGATTTCAGAGAAAACCAGTGGCACCATCGTGTTTCCCGCGAACTTTTACATAAGAAGCAACAGTCAAACCGCAAATTCCTCACACATGCAACATCTTCATTAATGAACCTATTCCGTTGGAATTTGCTGAGCGCAAGGTGTCTCCTGAAACAGGCTGGCCAAAAATCAGTACTTCTTCGGTACATTTGCAAGAAATTCGATACTTTTTCATTATCTCCAATTGACGGAATTCGAAAAATTTGAATTTCTCCCTCAAATTGCGACGAAAATGACAAAAAAAGGAACAAATCCTGGACGTTCTTGCGGAATGTCCGCACCATTTCAGTTCTTTCGGACCGCCCTTAAAAATCAGTAGTATTTCTGGACATTCCGGAAAATCCGGACTTGTAGACACCCTGTCGTTGAGCCACTTGGCGCGGTTTTAACTAGTGAATAGCGTGACATGCACTGAAAAAATTTTCCTTGAGATATTATTTTGACTTAAAGCGTCGTTTCTTTTCGACAAAATTTGGGGTTTCCCGATTAACTCCATGCGGATTTAACTTAAAGTCACTTTTTTACAGTTAAAGACATTTCGTTTTACAATCGTTAAGTTTTAAGAAAGCAACGTTTCTTTAACTTTGGGCCAATTTCTATGATTTTTTGGGGTATTGACAATGAAATCATTTAAAACATGACCCAGGAAGCGGCCGTTTGAGGGCGTGGAGCATCCATCGGGGCCTACGTCTAGTTTTCTCAACCGCGCCTGAAAATGTCAAGGCAAATTATTCATAACTCGTCACCTTCCGGCCAAAGTATCACAGGCGCCATGCGACGTTTCCAAAATTTCCGCCGCCATTTCATCTTTTAACTGAGAAATTGTCGGTTGAATTTGTTTGAAAAGTTCACTGCATTTTATCGGCAGCACAAAGATAATGCAGTGAAATTTTCGGGCAGCTTCGTTAAACAATTTCTCTGTACAAAAATAAAATGGCGGCGGAAATTATGAAACGTCGCACGGCCCTTACGATACTATGGCCAGAGGATGACGAATCCTTCTCAAAAATCAGTTTTCATCCACGGAGATTTGGCAGCGTCTGAGTGTAAATACAGGGTTTCTCCTCAACAGAACAGAAAAGGGAGCATGAATTCGGAAACCTGGCGGCGGCGCCGCGGATCGCGATACCCGAAACTTGGCCGATAAACAAGCTCCTGAAAGCACCAGAAAAACGTCTCAGAATGGGCCTGTAATTAGTAGGAGGGACGAGGCGGGACGCCCCCTCCCCGAGACGCGCCCTCCCTCCTGCGCGCGGAAGGGTAAAAATATGAACGTTTCGAGCACAAAAAAAAAATGACACGTTTTAATTTTAATGAAAATTCGAGGCTCGGTGCTCGGCGGCACCCCTCCTGCATAACGGAACTAAATTTAAACCGGCCGAAAAAATGGGAAGGAAAGGGTTTCGTCTCTTTCTCTCCCGGAGAATTATGTTTATAAATGGAATATTAAGGAATATGAACGTGTTCGAATTCCGTTTCGGTGAAGCTCCTCGGGTGTTTTTTTTTCGCTCTTCGAGCGACGACGCGATGGCGTGAGAAATTTTCGTCCGCCGACTTGAAACTCGAATGTCATCCGTTCCTCGGGAGGGGAGACGCCTTGGCGAGTGCATTTTTAATGTACCCAAAATTGGAGGATCCTGCGCTCCGTGCAACCGCTGCCCTTGCGGCCCGCACATTTTTGTGCATCTTGACACATGACTGATCGTCATCCTTTCGGACGCGAGATATCGTGAGCTTGTTCCCCGTCCCGCCTCGCGCGGTGAACCTCGTTTCCAATTCAAATGCCACAGATTTGAGAACTCTCCTCTTGCTTTGAAACGGACACTACATGACTGAAGCTTCGCTTTCCATAAATAAATAAATAAAAAAAGGAGCAAGGAGTAAAATGGGAACAATGCGTCGTCGTTCCTCTGACGTAATGGGGTATCTCAATTTCCACGAGTCTTGGTGAATGAACGAATTCTAGGGTTGCTACAGAATTTAGGAAAATAAATTCCCTGGAATTTCCCCGATACATTTTGGTGAAATTCCCTGACACATTGTGGTGAAATTCCCTGACAATTGAAGATATGCCTACAGAATTTAGGAAAAGAAATTCCCTGACATTTCCCTGATACGTTTTGGTGAAATTCCCTGACAATTGAAGATATGCCAGATGGTGAAAAGACAAAATAAGAAATAGTTTCCTAATCTAGAGTCCAGACTCTTAAAAAAATTGACAAGAAAAAAAACTCTTGATTTAATCGGACTCCTTGCTCGAATCAAAAGGAAACCCGCCGAAATCAAGAAGCTCGGTTCTTCGATTCATGGGAAAATCGGATTGAATCGGGAGTACTTTTTCTTGTCGATGTTGTTTAGAATCTGGACTCTAGATTTAAGCAACCTTTTTTTCCAGGGCGGCGTTTTTCCTTAGCACGGCAGAGCACATTCATCGATGAATGAGAATGAGGCATTGATCGGATGGATTCATGTTTGACCTACACAACCCTCTTGAGTCGAAGCGAGGGACCAGGGGTTGCTAATTGTGTTCGAGGTGGGTCGGCGGGGGTAAGGGGCGAAAGGGGAGGGGCTGCCGGCACGTGGCTCCCACAAAATTAGCCGGAAGTTTCCGAGATGAAGACCGTTTAAGGAGTCAAGCACTTGCAGTGGAATCTTTTTCCCCATTTACTTAAATGGGAGAAAAACAGGATTTAGGGGTGAGGGGTCAAGCTCGCGAAACGAGGGTAGGTCTCCTTCACTATTTCACCCTAAATCCAGCAAATTAAGAAGCGGGAACCTTCTCCTGGGTAAACACCGATACGCTAATGAGGATACGGGGCACTTCACCAACTCGGTAATTGTGGACTTCCGGGAGCGATATTTTAAAGGGTGTTAAAAGATTATCCTTTTTATTGGAATACGTGCTGATGCTCGCATCGCGTTCCGCGTTTTTTTGCCGGAGACGGTAAGGAAAATAATATCTTCCTGTAAAGCACGGTTTCTTGGTCGTTAACGCTGCGGCGGGGTTGGCATGGTGTTAAAAATTCTCGGTTTTTTCGTTCCCTGCATGACATTCCCCTAACTTCAACGGAAAAACTCCCGGATGAAAATTCATGATTTCCTCTTGCACTTTTCTCTGGATTCATACTTAAAAAAACAAGATTTTTCTTAAGAGTTCGAAACACGGAAAAAATTAAATTGCTGATTTAACAATGGACCACTAGACAAGGTACGAAATTCAGCATTCTGATACATGTTCCTTGACCAGAATTTCACTTAGAACACGATGCGCACAACGAAAATTACCGAAATCAACTCGTTATGAAGATATTTAATGATTCTTGATGCGTGAATTCAAACCACCCGCTCATGAAAACTCAATGCTCTACGTGACTCACATCGCGCGCTGAACGTTATCATGACAGTCTCTGCGATATAAAAATCTGTCAACCTTAATCTTGACGCTTTAGCTCAGCTATTGCAAGTGGTTTATAGTTTGAACAGCACATGGTGGGAAATGAACATAGCTTGATTGAGAAGTTTGCTGAAACCGTTCTAGTGCACGATTTGACTCACGAAGAGCTTTGAGTTTCTTGGGAGCGGGCAGTTCAAACTCCTCGTAACCAATGTGAAATATAAACGTTAATATCTTCGTTAGGAGTTGATTTCGGTAATTTTCGCTGCGCGAATCGTGTTCTACGTGAAATTCTGGTCAAGAAACATGTATTAGAATGCTTAAATTCGTACCTTGTCTATTGGTCCATTCAATTGCTAAAAACAATGACTGCAATGTTTCAACTTCGATTTTACAACAAACAAAAATGCTACTTTAACCACTATTGTACGCTAATTTAACCACAGGGGTGGTTAATGTAGCATTTTTTTGTTGTAAAATATACATTGAAACGTTGCTGTTACTTTTTTAAGCAATTGAAGTGCAAAATCAGCAGTTTAATTTCTTCCGTTTAAGCAAAACATCTTTGTATCTTTGGTGTGATTTTATGAAGCTGAGTCGACCCAGAACACCAGTTTCAAAATGATCTTTGAGAGCGAAGCTTTAAGAGAAAGAAATCTAGATTTTTAGTCCGATTCCCAGACAAGTTCCCTGACTTTTACTGCGGTCGCATTAATTTTCTAAAAATTCAACCCTTTCGCAGTAAATGTATTAAAAAAGCGCTTTTGCAGTAATTTTTTTAAACATTCAACACTATAAAGCAGAAGTTTTTTCAAAAATTCAACAGTAAAGCAGAAATGTTCTAATAAATTCAACGTTTTCGCACTATTTTGTAAGAATCAGAGCGTTCATCGAGAGTTCACATTTTCCTTCATTTTATGGATATGCGATTTTACCCACTTGGGAGTGAAAATAGTCGCATCACGTTTTTTGCCCCTTTCCAACCTACCTACTCAGGCGTTAAAGTCTCCGAGTCAGCCGAAAAGAGTTCAAGTATTCTTCATTTCGTGGAAATGCAATTTTACCTTCTTGGAAGTCGAATTAGTTGTGTCACGCATTTCGCCTCATCCATGGCGGCTTTTAAACTCTGGGTTAAGATCTTTGAGTAAGTGGAAAAGAGATCAAGCCTTTTACATTGTTGAGGACACGCGAGAAAGTTTTGCTGCTTTATAATTGTGCTATGAAAAGGGACCTCATCTTCCGGAAGAAAATTAGTGAAGTACGTGCGCGTACACAACTTCGGAAAGTGTACGCGAGAATGGAGCGCAATTAGATCAAACCGTAGTGAATTTTATAGCATTAGTTATTATTGAACGTCGTACACGAAAAAAATGGATTGCTGATTTAACAATTCAATTGTTAAAAAATGTGACAGACATGTTTCAAGTGTACATTTTACAATAGGGGAAAGCTGATTCAACCACGGGCGTGGCAACATCAGCATTTTTTTTTGTAAAATCTACATTGAAACATCACTTTTGGTGTATCACCCTTTTTAACTACAAAATTGTTAAATCAGCAATTTCATTTTTTTCGTGTAGCCTACGCAATTTTTTCACTGCCTGCGCAGTTTGCGAACGAACAGCCGGTCTTTGGCTCGTGACCAATCTGCACCACTGCACCAGACAACATTGGACATTTCTAAAAAAAAAAAGAAAAAAAAGAAAGAAAGAAAAAAAAAATAAAACCAGGGATATTCAAAGATTTTCAAATTCCACGAAAAAGAAGAAATAATCATTTGCATTAAAAAAGTTGTCCGGGCAGCTCGAACCATGAGCGGGTTATGATTGAACATCAGAATGAGATACATTTTGACACATACAAGAAGAGTGATTTAAGAGGGAGAGAAAAGGCTGGAAAAGATAAATATGATGTGCGCATAAAATCTAATGACACAATTGTTAATATGACTCATGGCTCATTATCAAAGAGGGAATCCAGTTCAGCCAGATGGACCCTTTACAGCTGGATTGAGGTGGAGGGTTGAAACAGCTGATATGGTAATGTTAGAGAAAATCATTACACGCTCTGACCTCAGACCATCGTATTTCTACTGACCAACTGGCGGATCCTTTCGCCACCTTCGTTGCCATGTCGTCACTTGCCTCCTGATAAAAACGCCGACATGAATCTGAGACTTTATATCCTTTTGATTATTTCAACCTTTTCCCTTCCCTTCGTCAAAGAAGCCGATTTGGACGTATTTCTGCCAAACGAAACTGTGTGCATTAAGACATGAACCCTGAGAATCATCAGAACATGAAATGCGTAACAGGGCTCACGTCATAATGCACATAGTTCCGTTAGGCAGAAATGCATCCATTTAAGGTCCCATATCTCGTTCTCTCTCTCTCTTTCATTAAAAACAAGAGAGAGAGAGAGAAAGAAGAGAGAAAAAAAATGAAAAAAGGTTACGGAATTAAATTAGCATGAGAAGATTTTGAATTCATGATCAGAGGAAAATCAATAACTTGACAGTTTCTTGTGGCACTGAGAAAGTGTGACTTTAAACTAAGGAACCTCAGTTTTACATCACCGATCAACATTTAGGAAAATCCACCAAATAAAATGCTTTTTGAAGCTGCCAAAATACGCGAATTTATGGATATTTTGATTTCCCAAAACAAATGAACGAGTGATGGAAAATAGCTACGGTAATCTACGGTCCGCAATCAGACACCTAGATGAGAGAATTTATCCTTCCTCTTTGACGAAAAATTACGAGATAAGTTGGATTACGATTGCGGCAAAACTGATGCAGCCACAAAATTTCATCGGTGGCTTCAATATTAACTGACTGCACAATCGCGATCTTGCAGGCGAATACTGCTCTAAGAATCAACGCGCAGGGGATACTTTCGCATACTTTCCCGGCTTCAGTAAAAAACACACGTGGTATGAAGGAAAATATTCCGGACCTTCTTACGGAAGTTCCACACTTATTCAGTACTTCCAGACCGCCCTTAAAAAAGCATTTCCATTTCCGGACTAGTGGACACCCTGGTGAAGAATGGAAATACAGGACGGTACTCGGTAGTAGAGTTCTTGAGGTTCTCAGTTTCTAGAATTTTGTTTGCATCGGACGGCAACCACTTCACTCCACTGCGCCAAACGGTAAATGCTCTTCGCCTGACATTTCGAGCATTGGGAGACTATAATTTTTCAATCCGTCCACGATAAGAGACCCTCCACTAGCCTCCTGACGACAGGTGGAAGCTTTTACTTTCGAGGTTTCAACAATTCCTTATGGACAATTATTAGCGAACAACAGTCATCACCCTATTTTCGGCTGTTGACTTACCTACATGGTCGATGATGAGCTTCGGATGACGTCATGAGCCAAACAACTTTCCCAAACGTCGGCCATTTTCGGCTTGTTTGCAAAACGAAACTGCCAACAGGTTGTTGAACATCAACCATGTAGGTAAGTCAACAGTACAATGCTGAAGTCCCGAAAGTAAAAGCTTCCACCATGGCCAAGATACTAGTGGAGGGTCTCTTGTCTCTGAGGATTTCTCATTCAAAGGCTGGCAATCCACAAAAATTAGAACTTACCACGTTAGCGCATGACATCGGTGACAGTGGTGAGTAAGGGTGGAAGTAAGGTGTGTTCGTGGGACGACAGCGGTGAGCCCGAACTAGGACCAACTTCCACTTCACATCAACCAGTCCAGTCTGGAGACAAACACAGAGAAAAAGGATAAATAAAGGGCGCGCATAGAAACGACGAAAAAAACACAAATATGAGTTGATATTTATGCAAATCCCGCGTGGTGACCGGAGGGAAGATTCGCGGCCATTCAAAAGATCCATTGATCAAAATTTTATGGGCACCTCAGGAACATGCATGGCTGCCCCGAGAATCGCGCCGACGTGTCGTCCCAATGACCCGACCCCTCTTTACGCTCCTTTTTCGCCGGTTAAACGATCAAAATCCCGCGTCCGGGGCTCAAGCTTCCGAAGGGGTTTCCAACTGACCCTTACCGGCTTTTACTCCGGTCCCATCGAATATTTTCACGTCATAATGTGCGATTCATCTCCAACAGTCCCTGCTGAAATTCAGCAACGACCAACTCGGGGACACCAGGGTATCCACACGGTTAGGTTAGGTTAGGTTAGGTTAGAGTAAATAGCACAAGAAAAACAAGACTTGAAATTTAAAAGGTGTTACTGAGGCAAGTTTTAAGTTTCGTTGACGTCGTGATCGTTGACACCGTGATCATTTTTCATAAGGGTCAGAATTTTTTATTTTTGGATGATCATGGTGTCAACAAAAACTTAGAAAAACTGTTTGTTGACACCATGATCGTTGACACCATGCTGTGTAATCAACGATCATGGTGTCAACAAACAGTTTTTCTAAGTTTTTGTTGACACCATGATCATCCAAAAATAAAAAATTCTGACTCTTATGAAAAATGATCACGGTGTCAACGATCACGACGTCGACGAAACTTAAAACTTGCCTCAGTAACACCTTTTAAATTTCAAGTCTTGTTTTTCTTGTGCTATTTACTCTAACCTAACCTAACCTAACCTAACCTAACCTAACCTAACCTAACCTTACCCAACTTTACCTAACCTTACCCAACTCCACCTTACAAGACCTATCCCACTTTCACAGAGCTTAACTTTCCCCGACCTTACCCTACATAACTTTACCTTACCTACTTAATCTAACCGTACATGTCCTGACCTAAACTAACCTAATCCAACTATACGTGACCCAGACCTCTCCTGTACACTTAATTTTTTAATTTTACTCACAAGGAGGATATTTTTCTGTTTGTTGACACCGTGATCGTTGACACCATGCTCAGGGCCCATTTTTGCGTTTTACTGCCTGATCACGACGTCAACAATCGTTGACTCCATGATCAGATTTTTGGTTTGTTGACACCATGATCGTTGCCACCATGCAACGTTACCTGATCGTTGACACCATGCTGCGTAATCATACACACAGTTAAAAATGTCCGTTTGTATGGTTACTTCGGGTTAAACTCTTCCATCAGATCAACCAAAAGAACTGGAATGATTTACCAATTTTTTTGTTAAATCGACTGAATTCGTTGGTTACTCTGAAATATACATAGCATGAGCAGGCTGATAGCCATGAGCTGTACAGGCATAGCTCACTGGAAAGAAGAAGAAAAAAAAAAACACATTGGATCTAGAGTTCAGACTCTAGAAAACATTGACAAGAAAAAGGACTCTTGATTCAATCAGATTTACGCTTAAATCAAAAGGAAAACCGCTCAAATTCAGAGGCTTGGTTATTGGTTTAAGCTTAAATCTGATTGAATCAAGAGTATTTTTTCTTGTCGATGTTTTCAAGAGTCTGGACTCTAGATCCAATGTGTTTTTTTTTCCAGTGCTGTATAGGCATGAGGAGAGTGTCCCGCTGGACTGACGTTCTAGTATTTCTCTCGATGTCACTCACAGATTTTTTTTTTTAAAGGTTTTATTTATTTGTAAAATATATACACAGTTTACAAATAAGAAGGGGCATTCGCCTTGGGAATTTTCTCCCTTCAGATACTACATAAATTTCATTTTAAATTAAAACAACAATAATAACTTAAGATACTACAAATAAGTGAAAAATATAATATGTTACTGCTAAAATTATTTTATAAATAGTTGTTGTAGATGTTTGAAAAAACCCCCTTTAGTATCACTAATAGGAGGAAAAAATCTATTACTACTTATAGGGTCACTCACAGATTGCGACTTGCGAGTGCTTAGCGCATTGAACTTACACCACTGTGATGTAGGTTCGATCCGGACGGCTCACGCCTGATTCTTAACGAGGATGCAAGTTTTCGACCCCAAGATTTGGTTAATGTAACCCAAAGAAAAATTAACCGCATGATTAGGTTACTTCCGTGCTCTACTTCCCATATTAACATAAAAAGTCGGTTACTTATTCTTACTGCGTGGACAAACTGAACGTAGTATGACGGAAAAAATTCCAGGCCTTCTTGCGGAAGTTCCGCACATTTTCGGTTCTTCCGGACTGCCTTTAACAACAGTGCTACTTCTTAGAATCCCTTTATAGAGAGAGTTTAGACAATGCGGCTCACGGATGTCACAAACGGGAATAAAGATTACACAAATTGGACGTTTTTCGTAATCTTTGATCAACTCATTCCCGAATTCCTGTCTCCGTTACTTTTCTCACGCCGTTTGAGCCTTGCCGTGCCCCTAATTCCCCGGTCCATTCTAGTTTGTAATTATTGCATTTGGTGAAAATGTAATTTTAGAGGTCTGCGGCCAACTACAGACAGAGACTTAATGTCCTTAGACAACAGGGCGATAGGGACATCCACGCTCCGGCTACCAAATTTTCAGGGATTAAGGCCGAGAAGAATCTGTTTCTGCAGATCCGTTTCCGTGAAAATTCGTCGCCACCACCGGGATTCGAACCCGGGATCTATTCTGCCGTGCTAAGGAAGAACGCCGCATGAACATTCGAGAGTTGCCGAATTTCCTTCGATGAAATGTTTATTTTCGTGGAGAGTTATGAATATTTTCCCTTGAAATTTTCAGGGACTTTAGGAGAAATTGCGTACAAAATTATAGGAAAAATCGAAAGGAAAATTTTCATACATCTATGAGGAAATTCGTGTTATATCAAAGGAAATTTGGCAACGCCTGAAGGTTCATACGGCGTTTTTCCTTAGCACGGCAGTATTGGTCTGGAGTTAGACGCGCTGACCGCTGGGCCAACCTGGCCGGCTGATTGTGACACCGTGGAGACCTAAAATACAGGAACCAATCAGAAATGGATTCGTATTGTCATTACTCTCAGTATAAAGAGACACTACTATTTCCGGAGATTCCGGACCAGTAGACACCCTGCCCAATCCACCCGCGGAAATTGGCGAAAATGGTGCGGTGGTGGCGCGAGAGGGTGAGCGTGCGCGCATGACGGTGCGTGCGCGAGCGAGCGCGGGGCGGCGCAACGAGGCGACTGTATCATCAAAAAGAATCCGAGATGACAGCTATTTTGACGAGCGCCGGGGAGGATACAAGAGGGACGGAAAGTGTTAAAGACGTTATGAAAACATTACCTAAACCAGAATAGAAATAATGAAAAGGTGGGCTCCGCGCGACCATCATCGCGCTTCCTTCCCCTCCTCGCGGTGCTGCGTTGCCAGATTCGTCGAGACCCCATACCAATGGCCAATGGCTATAAGGGGCCGTTCATAAAACACCGACCCTCTGACGTAATGGCCAATGGCTATAAGGGGCCGTTCATAAAACACCGACCCTCTGACGTAAGGGCGTACCTCGATTTACACCTGAGCCCTATTCTCCGTATACAGAGTTGTTACAGAAAAGAGGAAATGAAAGTCCCTGGCATTTCCTCGACAAATTTTGGTGAAATTCTCTGACGACTGGAGATATGGCATAGGGTTAAAAGGACTTGTTCTTCTACTGGACTAGTTCTTGGACAAGATTTGTTGTTCAAAAAGACAAGATCATTCTAAACAAGGGAAATAAAAATGACTTGCCAATTTTCCCCGGACATTTTCGTCATTTTCTTCTCTCCCGTCCTTTCTTCCATGGGTGTCTACTGTCCACTGGTACTCTGTCATTAAACTTCTTTGCGTTTTCAGTACCTTTTCCCTGCTTTTTCCATACTTTCCCAAAAACTCCTTTCCTTCTGACAATTCTCAAAAATGCTTGCTTTTTCCTTTCCGTTTCCTTACCTCACGCGCATTTTTAACTGTTACGGATTGGGAAAGTGGAATGATGGGATGACGAAGGAATAAACCGAAAAAAACACGAGAAATCGAACCAGGGTTTTGATAAACGAATTTTGGGAGGAAATTGCATATTCCCAGGACTACTTCATCACGAAAACCTCGAACTTCCGTACTTTTCCACGGAAAGTCCGCACCTTTTTTCCATATTTCCTTATTTCCGTACCGACCATCAGAAATCCGTGCTTTTCCAGTGTATCCGTACTATTTCCGTACAGTAGACACCCTGCATCTCATATTCTACTTCTACATATTCAAGTGAATGGGGGGAGGGGGGAGTCATACGCCCCTTTCCGCCCTCCCCATTAAATCCGCCTCGGTCAAGTCTCCAAGAGCTCCGTTCCCGGGAAATTCCCTACTCGGGCGCTCTTGTGCCAAGCGTTATTTTCGGCGCTTTTGTCGCGAATGCTAATGTGCGGAGTACTTGTCGGTGAAACGAGACAAGATTCGGGGCCCGGGGGCCCGCAGCGGCCGGGGCGGGGGCCCGTCTTTGCCAGGTGGCGGCGAAAACGTGGGCCCCCCGCTTTTCGGCGGGCGAGAATAACCGGATTTCCCGGACGGCGCGACAATGGCATCTGGACCGATGGCACCATTCGTCGTCCCTCCGACCTAAGAGCTTATCTCTATCCCATCGTGAGCCCTGTTCCGCATGTAACTCCACGCTTTTCAGGGCTCATGTGGAAGCCGAGACTCGCTCTTGGGTCGGCGGAGCGGCGCATTGTCCGGCTCCGATTGTCCACGATCCGGACCACAAAACTAATCATGGGTCGGCTTTGTTGGGCCCCGGCTCGCTTTCAAATGAATATAGAAAACAGAGCCGAGTTGTAAACCGTAAACGGCGCCAAGCTCCAGGTCCCACGACAACCGAATTATCGGCTCCGACCGCCGCCGTCTCCGCGCTCC